TCATCACCACCACCACCACCACCACCACCACCACCATCATCATCATCATCATCATCATCATCATCATCATCATCATCATCATCATCATCATCATCCGATGGCCCATCCTGCCACCTTGCCTGGATTGAATATCGGAGCCCTCTGGGACGCCTGTGGGGATCTCTTGGGAGGTCTCTCGGAAGCCTCGTGGACCTGGTTTCGGGGTGTCTTGGTAGCCTCCAGAGTGCCTCTTGGGCGCCTTTTGGGACCTCTTGGGGGCCTCCTGGGGCTTCTGGAAGGCGTCTCGGGGGCCTGCTGGCGGTCGCGGGGGTCACCTTAGGGCCGAGGGATCCTTTTTCCCCTCCGCGGGCCGAGAGAGGCCCATGAGAGCCCCAAGGCAGCCGAAAGGGCCCCCGGAGATGACCGCGAGGAACATTCCGAGAGGCCCCCCACTGGCGATGTGTCGGGCCCTGGCGGGGGGGGGGCAGCTATTGAGAGCACCCCGTTTCTCACCAGCGGCCCCCGGATCTGCCCGCCTAGGCCCTGGACAACTACCCCCAAGACGTCCACAAGAGGGCCAAAAAGCATGGGGTCCGTGGGCGTCCCCAGACGGGCCCCACGAGCGAGGCGGGAGCACGACCAAAGAAGGTCCCAGGTCCAGAGAGAGGCCCGCTTCGAGAGGAGCAGGGGAAAGAGGAGGAGCCTGCAGTAGCGAGCAGGGGACGAGCAGGAGCGAGCGAGCGGGGAGCGGGCAGGGGGCGAGCAGGGGGCGAGCGGGGGAGAGCGAGAGGGGAGCGAGCAGGGGGCGAGCGGGGAGCGGGCAGGGGGCGAGCAGGGGGCGAGCGGGGAGGAGCGAGCAGGGGGCGAGCGGGGAGGGGCGAGCAGGGGGCGAGCGGGCGAGCGGGAGGCGCGCAGGGGGCGAGCGGGCGAGCGCAGGGAGGCCGCGGGCGCGAGGGCGCGGCGGGCGGGCCTGGGCGGCGCCCGCCGCCTCGCCCTCCTCGGCGGCGTCCGCCTCGTCGTCGGTCTCCAGGCCCTCGTCGTCGGAGTCCTCGCGAGGACGGGCGCCGCGGCGCGGGCAGCGGCGGGGCGACGGGGGCGAGACTGGGCCCTCCGACGCCGCGGTCTGTTTCGATCCCACCGCTCCTGGACTTCGGCGCCCTGGCCGCGGCGCCCCCGCCGGCACGCCCCAGGGCGGACGCCCCTCAGGGCGAGGACGCCGCCCGCGAGGGGGAGGCGAGTCTCGGAGGCGACGCCAGGGGCGAGCAGCCCGAGGGGGGAGCAATGCACGCACCCAGGGGCGCCGATGGCCCGTGTGCTCCTCGGCGACATGTGCGTGTGGGCTGTATGTTGTGTGTTGTGTGCTGTGTGATGCGTGTTGTGCGTTGTGTGTTGTGTGTTGTGTCTTGTGTGCTGCGTGTTGTGTGCTGTGTGCTGTGTTTTGTGCTGTGTGCTGTGATGTGTGATGTGTGATGTGTGATGTGTGTTGTGTGTTGTGTGTTGTGTGCTGTAAGCTTTGTGTGTGTTGTGTGTTGTGTGTTGTGGGCTGTGTGCTGCGTGATCTGGGGTCTGTCCAGTGTGCTCTGGTGTGTCGGTGTATGTGTGTGTTGCGTGCTATGTGCTGTGTGTTGTGTGTTGTGGGTTGTGTGTTGTGTGTTGTCTTGTGCGCTGTGTGCTGTGTGTTGTGTGTTGTGTGTTGTCTGTTGTGCAGTGTGTTGTACGTTGTGTTGTGTGTGTTGTGCGCTGTGTGTTGTGTCTTGAGTTTTGTGTATCATGTGCTGTGTAGTGTGTGTGTGTGTGTGCTGCATGTTGTGTGCGCGTGTGTCCGTGCGCGCGTGGTCTGCGTGTGCAATGCTCGCTCCTGATGTATTCGCCACCACCGTCGCTTCTGAGCCAAAGGGGGGCTCCCAAATCCGTTCCCGCATCTGGTTGTCCCAGCGCAGACGCCGCATCCAAGCGGTCCTGGCCCAAAGCGTTCCCAGCTTCTCGAACCGTTTTGGAGCCCCTGGGGCCCCTGGGCATCGTGACAGGCCACCTGGGCATCCCCAGAAATCTTGGAGACACACATTGAGCCGCGGACACCTCTGGACGAGAGAATATAACACACCCACACACACGCACTTTTTGAGTCGGCGGCTAGGCAAAGTGACTGCGCTGGCGGAAAGAGCATGTGTAGGACACACGGATGCGAATTAGGCCTCGATGCACGAGGAGGGGTGAGAGGAAGCCCGGCGCGGGCGGGAGGGGAGGGGAGACCGGGCCCGCTCAGAGCGGCGCCAGGCCGCGGCACGGGCAGCGCCGGGGCGGCAGGGAGGCGGCGGAAGCAGGCGGCCGAGGACGGGCAGCCAGGAGGCGGCCGAGCCACGCGGGAGGGGGTACCGGCCCAACACGAGCTGGGGGCGGGCAGCGCAGCGGGGCGGCCGTGTGCCGAGGTCGGTGCGACCTCCAAGCGACCGGGCGGCAGCCACAGAAGACCACCTCAGGAGAGGGGCCGGGGTGTCGCCGAGGAAGATCCCAGCAAACTGGAGAAGAAAACGATGGCAGGCGGAGGCGCCGAGGTTCCGAAGGACCTGCGAAGCGCCCGGCGCGCGGCCGGCCGAGACACCCCGAGGAGGGGCGAAGTGGCCAGGGCGGGGCGGAGCAGCAGGGCGGGGTAGGCCCGCCGTCGAAGCCGACGTGCGGGCACGCCGGCCGGGCCTGAAAACCAAGGAAAGGGGCTGCCGGTGGGGTGCCTGAGGTCAGCCAGGCACCCCAGAAACGGAGGGGGCCCGGCGGAACGGGGAGGACACGCTCCCAGGGGCGGAAGGAAGGAGGCCACGGGCGACCACCCGTCCATAAACCTGCAGAAGGCTGGCGATCTAACCTGCCAGGGCAGGGTATGCAGCGGCGGGGCAGAGGCCACCTCCCAGACGGGGGACAGCGCCGAAGCGGCTGCCGCGCCAGGGAAAGTAGCTGCGAGGGTGCGCGGAAGCCAGGAGCGAGCGGCAAGACCAGAGCGGTAAGGCAGAGAAACTAGCTGCGAGGGCGCGCGGAAGCCAGGAGCGAGCGGCAAGACCAGAGCGGTAAGGGCTTGCGCCAGCTAGGTTGCGCGGCGCAGCCACTGGGGACTGGTAGGCCCGCGCGGCCCCACCATGGCAGGAGTGGCATGGTGGCGGGCGGTCGGAGCACAGAAGGCGGGGCGGCGCCAAAGACAGCAGCAGAGGCGCCACGCGGGAGAACCTGACGCGCGCGGGGGGCAGCACCGAGTGGTGCAGGACGAGTGGCGCAACGGAAAGCACCGAACGGGTGCACCACAAGTGCTGAGGTGCAGCGGGCGACCCGCGGGGGAGCCGCCCAGCGAGGATGGCGCGGCGGGGGTGTAGGCGCGGAGCCGCGCCAGCGGGTGTTGAATGGCGCCCACCACGGGGAAGCAGCCCAACTGGGCGGGGGGTAGCACCGAACAGGTTTTGATCCGCGGGTCGAGAGCGCACCTCTTCCGGTCGAAGCTAAGCGGGCCGCGCGAAGCTTGAATTAACCAGAGATGGGGGAGGAAAAGGGGGGCGCAGCCTGGGGTAGCACCGAACAGGTGCACTGACAGTGCAGAGAAAGGGCAGAGCCCAAGCGAGGACAGCTGCCGCCCAAGCGGGCAGACGGTGGGGGGTAATTAGGCGCAGGGCCGCTCGGAGCAGGTGCGCCGAGTGGCGGACAACTGCAGCCAGTGGAGCAGCGGGGGAGCCGCCACCAGTGGCGGCTGGAGGACCCCCACCAGCGCTGCCGGGCGGGGTCGTTGATGGGCCAGGAGGCATCGGCAGGCCGCTTGCCCTTGCCATGGGGAGGGGGGCCTTTCCCTTTGCCCTTCCCACTCTGGGAACTGAGCCGTCTCTTTTCCATCTCCTGCTCCCACGGGGCGTTCCAGTCGACGCGGGTACGCTTGTTGTAGCAAAGGGCCCAAATTTCGAAGCCGGCCTCGATGAGCTGGGCAACGGAATCCTGGCAGAATTCGGGAGGGAGGCGGCTTGGGTCCCTGGTGGGCCCTGTCTGTCCCATTATGTGGTCGCATATGGATTTCCAGCCGATGGTCAACATGGGGCCACATTCTTTCTTGAGGCAATTGACCACTTCCTGCCAGTTCTCCTGGCGCTGGGCAGGGAAGTTCCAGCTGGGGTGCCAGGAAACACACACACACACAGACACACAGACACACAGACACACACACACACACACACACACACACACACACACACACACACACACACACACACACACACACACACACACACACACATAACACGTCCATAGGGGGGGTCGGAGGGAGGAGGACTGGCTAAGGGTAGTCATGGGTGCGGGTTGTCCGACCTCGGGGGGGGGTCCTGGTCGAAATGGACCCCCCTCCGACAGCACGCACCCATAGCCCCCCTCCGTCCCCCCTGTGGATATGGGTGCATGCTGTTCGCTCGTCAACACTGGGCCAGGGACACATTTGGCTTCGAAAGTCCAGGGTTCGCTAGGGACTGACTTCCTTTCAAAATGGCCGAAACCCTCCCGAACCCCTCCGAAGACCCTCCGGGAAGGGTTCCGGGAGAGTTTTCAGAGGGCTTCGGGAGGGTTTGGGAAGGACATCTGTCGTTCTGGGACGAAACCAATCCAGTCCCTAGCGCACGCTGGGCTTTTTTACACTTGGCAGCACCCGCGAAGGGGAGCCAACACATCAGCTCGCGCAGTCGGCTCTCCCGGCGCCTCTCGGCGCCAGGCGGCGCCAGTGCAAGTCGAGGAGGGGGGCGCCCAACGCGGCGGGGCCGCCCGAGGCCAGCCGCGTGCCGCGGACTTCGCAGCGGCCCCCCATGATATACGACGAAGCCAAGGCTTAGAATCAATTCGGGCGGGGATACACCCTGCTTGCCTCCAGGTGGCCCACGAGGCCCCCAAGACGGCCTCCAGACGGCCCAAGACGGCCCCAAGACGGCCCAAGAGGTCCCCAAGACGGCCCAAGAGGGCTCCAAGACGGCACCACGAGGGGCCCAAGAGGGCGACCAAACATGTTGAAACTCTAGCTTTCTGCCCCCAGGAGCCCCAGGGGGCCCCAAGAGTGCCCCAAGAGGCCCCCAGAGGCCCTCACGAGGCCGCCCAGACGCCCCAAGGAACCCCCAAGAAGCACCCCAGAGGCTCCGAAACGGCCCCCGAGTGGCTCCAAAACTCGCAGTGTCGCTGTCCGCTCGGACCTCCCCGCGGAACTGCCCGAGACCCTCTGGCGGTGGCGGCGAACAGACACCAAACAAATATCACTCGCCTTTTCACCCCTTCGCAGCTTCTACTACCCCCAGATTGGCATAAACAAGGGGTCGGCGGTGTGGCGTAAGCCTAAGAATCAATTCGGGCGGGGATACACCCTGCTTGCCTCCAGGGTGCCCTGGGCTTCTTTGGTTTTGATGGTTTTTCGATGGAAAGCGTGATGTTCCCACACCAACAATCAGTGGACGCCCTGGGGTCTCAGGGCTGGGTTTCTTGAAGAAGGTTTCTTGTGGTCGGGCCCCTACTGTAAGTCATGAAGCTCTGAGATCCAGCGGCCCTGGAGGATGTCTCGGGCGCCGCGGCCCTCCCAGAGCGTTCCGGAACGCTCTGGGAGCGTTCCAGAACGCTCTGGAACAGCTTCCTCCTCGTCCTAGCCAGAGGTCAGGCATGTCCTCCTACAGACGGATTTGGCAGAAAAATAGGAAACAGTCTTATATGTACACATATAGATACACATACAACAATGCTGCATGTATGTATATACATATGTTTCTTAAACTCAATATATGTGTATACAAATCCGCCGACCCTGTCGGCGTGTGTGAGGGGCTTCTCCGTTCGACTCGTCGTCTCCGTCGTCTCCGTTCTCCCCCTCCCAGGGCTCTCCTCCTCAAGCGCGCTATCCAAAGCGAAATTAAACGACGTCGTAGTGGAGTCGAAGGGAAGCCCCTTCCCTTTGATCCTTTCCCCGCAGGGGGGGGGGGAGGGGGGGGGGGGGGCCCGGGGCAGATACGACGCCCGCCGGGGCGCACTTTCCTCGAGCGGGCACGCACGGGATGCACTTCCTCCTCCTCCTGGTCCTCCTCCTCCTCCTTTTCCTCCTCCTCCTCCTCCTCCTGCTCCTCTCCTCCTTCTCCTCCTCCTCCTCCTCCTCCTCCTCCTCCTCCTCCTCCTCCTCCTCCTCCTCCCGCAGAGGCGTCCCGGGAGCGGGCCCCGAGTCAAAATACCACCCCCTAGGGCGCATTTTCCTCGAGCGGGCACGCCCGAGATGCACTTCTTCCTCTTCCGGGAGCACGTCCCAAGTCAGAATATCACACTCCCGGGGCGCACTTTCTTCGAGCGGGCATACAAAGGATGCACTGCCTCCTCCTCCTCCTCCTCCTCCTCCTCCTCTCTCCTCCTCCTCCTCCTCCTCCTCCTCCTCCTCCCTCTCCTCCTCCTCCTCCTCCTCCTCCTCCTCCCTCCTCCTCCTCCTCCTCCCTCCTCCTCCTCCTCCTCCCTCCTCCCTCCTCTCCTCATCATCATCATCATCCTCCGCTTCCCCCCCCCCCACTCCTAGCCCTTTCGATCAGGGTCGGCGGCACCGGCCGTCAGGCCTCTCCAATATAATATGCTAATACAGCTAAAAATAGTAATCATAAAAATCATACGAATAACAATAATAATCAGAATAAACCTTATAATGACAGTAAGAATGACAAAAATAGAAATAATAACAATAATATCAATAGCAAGAGTGATAAGAATACTAATAAATAAATAAATAAATAAATAAATATATAAATATGAATAACAATAGTTATAATAATAGTAATAGAAATAATGATATCGTAATAACAATAATAATAATAACAATAAAAATAATAATAATAATGATAATAAAAATAGTAATAAGTAATAATAAGTAGTAGTAGCAGTAGTAATAATAATAACAATAACAGTAATAACAATGAGAATGATAATGATGATGATGATGATGATGATGATGATGATGATGACGATGACGATGACGATGATGATGATGATGATGATGATGATGATGATGATGATGATGATGATGATGATGATGATGAAGACACTACTTCTTCAAACAATTCTTGAACATTCCTCCTGTAGAGGGACATGCCCGACTTGAACTGGGGAACCGTGCCACTGGTCCAGAGGCCGCGGAAGCTCCAGGCAGGCTCCAGGGCCGGCTGCGAGAGGCCCCTGGGAGGCGGAGGAAAGGCCCTGCCTGCTGCTGCGCCAGGGGCCCCCAAGGAAGGCGCCCTGGAAGCTCCTGACGTCCCAAAGCCAGGTGCCCCGTCCGACCTGACCTGAGTCGGGCGTGTCCCTCCACGATGACTATTCAAAAATAATCAAAAAATCATATCGGGACGATGTTGCTACCATTTTTGCATATTTTTTGACTGCTTCCAATTATCCTCCAAAGTCTGCATGTAGGGGGACATGCCCGACCTAAACCTGACTTTCCAAGGCAAGCGAAAAAAAACGCCCTCCCGACCTGTAGACCGACGAGAATCTCTCAAGGCCTCGCCGAGAACTCCAAGTCGGGAGGTCCGGGTGCTGCGTGTTGGCTCTTGGCCCTCCTGGAAGGTTAGGGTCCAGAGGCCTCCCGGACGCTGCCCGAGTGGACGGGGTCAGTGGATCGCGCCGCATCGCCAAAGCACCGCCGCCGTCGGTGTGGAGACGATCGAGCTCCACATCGATCCGCATCGCCGACGCATCGGCGACGCGGCACGATCCTCCGACCCCATCTTTTCGGGCACCGTCTGCTTGGTTGACCCAGAAGGGGGTCCAGCTGAAAGGAGGTGGTGCATCAGAGTTGGGGCAATTGTATTGCAAATGCATTGCGCCAGAGAAGTGGAGTGCATTGTACTGCAACTAATGTATTGCACGCGAAGATCCAGCAATACGCTTGCCACCAGAAGCATTGCACGCCCAAGATCTATTGCAACCCTGCAAACTTATTGCACCGAATCTATTGCACCACTCTCTTTTCGCTGGACCACCTTTTCGGGTCAACCAGAGTCTGAGACCCGGGCAGGCCCCGATGTTTGATGATTGCCCTCCTGCAAGGCCCAGGCCCCTGTCCCACCCCCCCGCTCACTTGCAATCGCTCGGACGTCCAGTTCCTGTGCATTTGCCGGCTTCATGCGCTCATTTTCCGCGAGATGATCCCAGATGCTCATCGATGTTTCTCGCCGAGGAAAAATATGCACACGTCCGAGCGATGCCAAGAGGTCCAGGCCCCTTTCCCACCCACCCAGCTCATGTTCGTCCGGCCCGAGTCCTCCAGGCACCCGCGGCCCAGCTCGGCGACGACCTGCCTCGGGGGGCGGGCCGCGCTGGCGGGATGCCCCAGAGCTCGATGCAAAGAGGACGGGGAGCGCGAGAGAGAGGAGGACAAGGAAGGGAGTGAGAACGATAAGGCTCGCAGACACCACGACGATTAGTTGTGATCCCGATGCAGTGAGGATCTCTTAGCATCCGCATCCTTACGTAATGATAGTAATAACAATAAGAAGAAGAAGAAACATCATCATCATCATCATCATCATCATCATCATCATCATCATCATCAGCATCAGCATCAGCATCAGCATCATCATCATCATCATCAGCATCAGCATCATCATCATCATCATCATCATCATCATCATCATCATCATCCTCGTCCTCATCCTCATCCTCATCCTCATCCTCATCCTCAGCATCATCATCATCATCATCATCATCATCATCATCATCATCATCATCATCATCATCATCAGCATCATCACCATCACCATCATCGTCATCATCATCAGCATCAGCATCAGCATCATCATCATCATCATCACTTCACCATCATCATCATCAGCATCATCATCATCATAATCGACATCAGCAGCATCATCATCATCATCATCAGCATAATCATCATCATCATCATCATCATCATCATCATCATCATCATCATAATCATCATCATCATCACAATCATCATCATCATCATCATCATCAACATCAGCATCAGCATCAGAAGCATCATCATCGTAGTCAGAATCATGATCTTCAGCATCACCATCATCATCATCATCATCATCATCATCGTCATCGTCATCGTCATCATCATCATCCTCACCATCAGCAGCAACAGCAGCATCGGCATCAGCATCAGAATCATCAGCATCAGCAGCAGCATCATCATCATCGTCGTCATCATCGTCGGCATCATCATCATCGGCAGTAGCAGCATCAGTACTAGTATCGATGAAATTATTATTAACACCAGCATCATCATCATCATCATCATCATCATCAGCATCATTATTATCGTCATCCTCATCGTCATCGTCATCAGCAGCAGCCGCAGCAACTGCAGCAGCAGAATCAGCATCAGCTCAACATCATCATGAGCAGCAGCATCAGCATTAGCATCAGCATCATCATCAGCAGCAACATCGCCCATATCATCATCCTCATCATCCTCATCAACCATCATCATCATCAGCATCATCCTCCTCATCACCATGATAATCAACAGCAGCAGCAGCATCATCAGCATCATCATCATCATCGTCATCGTCATCGTCATCGTGATCATCATCCTCATCATAATCGTCATCCTCGTCATCTGGATCATCAGCAGCATCAACAACATCATCATCATCGCCTCCCGAACTGACTCATCCATCATCATCGTCATCGTCATCATCATCACCACCACCATCATCATCATCATAACCATCATCGTCGTCGCAGCTGTCTCTTCGTATCAGCTTCCCGATTTGGCTCGATCACCTCACCATCATACTCAATCGTGCCCGACGTCGTCATCGCCGTCATCCGCAGCAGCGGCACGACTGCACGATCGTCCTCGATCGAAGCCTTGTCCCCCTAACTCTGCATCTGCGAGAGCAGGAGCGAATCAAAAACAACCAGCTCCCCGCCTCCTCCCCTCCCCTGGCAGGTAGAGCCTCAGCTCGTTGGCGTTCTCCTCGTAGTCGTCGATGATGGCCACAGCGGCGAGGAGCTCCTGAGACCGACAGCG